AGCAGGAAGCTAATGTGGATACCAGAGTCAAAAGGTGTCCCCTAAGAAACAAAATCCAGAAATGCGATTCTGAAAAAGGGATTTTTGTTGAGATTGGTAAGATCTGTTGCTGAGTTATGTATAATGCTTTAAAAGTAATGAAAGGTGATGAAGTTTAAAGTTTTTATAAACACTGATTTCTCCTTAACATCCAAAATGAGATGCAGGGGACAAATGATAGACAATTCCAAGTTGGTAAATCAAAGGTGGTTTTACATAATTTATTGTATTGTGGGAGGTAACGCTGCTGTAGTAAACCCTTAAGGCTCAGTATGCAAGATCCAGAGAAGAGAAGATGCTTGCAAATGTGAAAAAAATTATAGTTACAACTAATGACACTTCTCTCTAAAGAATGTTAAGCCTTGTCACCAGTGCTTGAGTTGATAACCAGAGATAAGAGTAAAATTTAATTGAGAAAAGACTGTTTTATTCCTGTCCATCCTAGTTTTTTGGAACTTCCTTTTTATCTGGCACTGACTGCTGCAAGAAAAAAGATAGATGCTGTGCATATTTTATTTTCTGCCTGTTACGTCAAGGAAGGAATTGCTTCTTTTAACATACAGTGTTCATTGCCTCTCTTTTCCTTATTGCTTCTGCCAAGATTCATCAGAGGATCTGAGACAGATATTCAGATATATTGCTCTGACTTGCAGTTCAAAATTCAAAATACTAGCAGCTGTTTCATGTGTAAATTTACAAATTAGAAAATAACTCTTAGCTAATTATCTCTTAGTAGCTCTCTGTTAGCAGTCCCTGTATTTAAACAGAATTTTGTGCTGGAGCCATGTAGATACTGATAAATAGAAATCATTATAATTAGGTAAAATAATGCACAATTGAACTTGATCTCATCTGATTAAAGTTGAAAGCATCTACTGCTAGAAAGAGTTAAGCAGGTATGCTTCTGTGATAATGAACACTGAATCTGGCAAGTTATCTTTCTCTGAAGCATTTCAACCAGAGTAACAGCTAATTTGATTTTAGGCTCTGATTCATCAGAAGAGATTTTTAAACAGGCAAACGATACCAGGTAAGTAAAGGTGATTAATTAATTCATATTTTCTAAAGACAATAATTCAGTCTCATTCCTGTGCTTATTTTTTAGCTTAGGATTGATAGATTTAATTAAGCTGACATGTAATTTTCATGTTGGAGGGAATCAGAGGAGCTGAGTGTCATCAGTTTGTCATGCAACATGCTTTGAAGCTGTTTTCTAAATGTTTTGCTGCTTAAATAGACATTAGTTCTTCAAGGGGAAAGCTTGTACTATGCTTTAGAAAGTAGATGTTAAATTCAGGAATGTGGGAGGGGATCTTTTAAAGAAATAGCCTGAAACTCTGAAGAGGTCTAGTTGTTTTGAGAGTCCTGCATTCTGACTCCTCCAAAAATTATTTCAGAGGACAAAAAGGGAAAATTAAATTCATCATCTTCTGTCAGTTGTGTTTTTTTTCTCTGTCGTGAAACTAGATTTCCCTTCCCAACAGGTTAGAAGACAAAGAAGCACTTGAGATTTCATCTCAAGAAAAGCCAGAAGAACTTAAGAGTGCTGAGAAGGGGAATGAATGTTCTTTCAGTACACAGCCTGACAAGCTAGGTGCTAAAGGAGTAATTTTACCCAATGTCATAGGTGTGTTTGTTGCTTTGGTGACAAAAATGATTAAGCTTGAAAGTTACATTTAATCACGTGAGATCAAAATGTTATATACTTGTGGCCTTGAACGTTACAGTTCTGTTGATGCTTACAGCTGGTGACAGTGTAATACAAGAAAATATCTGTAGACTAGATAGTTTAAATGTGGATATTCTGTGCACAGGAACAGAAGGGTAAAAAGTACCTTGATCAAAGTGCAAAACTTTCTCTTACATAAGCTGTATTATTCCGTTATAATAGAATTTGAGAGCACAGTTAGGTGATTCATGTAAGAAGCTGGATGAACATAAGTCTTGCGTAATCTGATCTTTCTCCCTTTCTCTAGAGGGAGATTTGTGCAGTGTAATATTCTGTTTTGGGGAGAAATAAGAACAGTTCTTTTAAAACAAAGTAACCATTAAGCATGTCATGGTTCTTGTGTGTGTGAAATAGGGCTTAATAATTTATAATACCTATACATCTTTAGGTGAAAGTGATTTCTCAAAAGAAGGCTTGAGCAAGAAAAGCACTCAGAGCATCACTGAATACCCCAAACCTGGCCAAGTGAATACGACTGAGTACCAGAGTTCTCCTTTAAATGTTCTTGCTGTAGACCTACTGACAGAGCAGTGTAACAGAATAGATAATGCCAGTCCCTTGAGGAATGAGGACGCATCTTTCTTTAAGAACCCAGAAGAAATGGATGCAGAGCAAAAGCAGTGCAATAGCAAAAGTGAAGAGTTTGGCTTAAAAGAGCGTTCGGAGAGCAGGTTGGGTAAAAGCAAGGAAATAGATACAGTTGTACAAAGTATGGAAGCTGTGGAAATGAATGAACCTGAGAATGATTTTTGCCATGGAAAAGAACTTCCTCAGGAGAAACTACTTCAGCCAGAGATACTTCAGTGTGGTACCCTGAATGAAGTCTCTAGCAAGAGACTGAAGCGAAGCGTTCAGAAAGTCAATGAATGGTTTTCAAAAAGCAACGAGATTCTGTCTTCCTATTCTTCCCAGGATGATTCTGCTGCAGCAACTGATGTTTCAGGTGAAGGAGATCCATGCTTATCAGATAAAGATTCCTGTATTTCAGAAAAGACGGACCCTATGGTAGATCCCGTGGAAATTACAGTGACTGAAGGAAACAAGAGATGGTCAAAACAAACAGCAGATAGCATCGAAAACAAAATATTTGGGAAAACATACAAAAGAGAAAGGAAGTCAAATCTCCCTATTATCCTCAGAGATGTTTTGCCTACTACAAAAAAGGAAGATGTGGCTGCTAAGTGCTTGAATAGTCCCAGCAAAACAAGACTAAAACGAAAAAGGAAGAGCACCTATGTCCTGCAACCAGAGGATTTCATCAAGAAAAAAGATCTAGGAGAGGCAGGTGGGTGCCCTCAAAGTGTTAACTGGTGCCTTGGAGATGCTGAAAGGAAAAGATGTAATGAGAGTTCTCTCATTAATGAGAGCCATCTCTCCAAGGAAAGAGAGGAAAATACACCAAAAACACTTGAGGAAGGAGGAGGATCCATATGGAAAAAAGCTACTGAAAGGGTTACTGGCAAGCATTGTGATGGGGAGATAGAACTGAATAGCTCTGATCAGAAAAGCACTAAAAAAAGTAGTTCTGTAGCAAAAAGATGCAGGCGTCTTACTAGAACAATGTGTGCTCTACAGTTAGTAGTGGATAGAAACTCTGTTTCCCCTGACACAACTGAGCCACAGATTGATAGCTATCCCAGCAGTGAGGAACCAAGGAAAGTTGATTATGAGCAAAGACAAGTCAGGCGCAGTAGGAGGCTTCAGTTACTTTCTGAAGAAATGACAAAAGGAACAGGAAAAGGAGTAGTAATTAAGAGAGCAAGAACACGTGACAGTGATAGTGAAGGATCTTTCTCTGGGGTCCAAAGGAATGTGTTGGCTCACACTTCTGAATGTGAAGACCTGTGTGAGCCCCAGGATATGTTGACTAACAAGCTACTCACCAATATGAAAGATGGTAATCCAGAAGCATGTGAAATACAGATTAGTCTGAAGAATTCACCTGACACTGCAGAAACTAGAAAAAATCTTTTCAATCCTACATCTTCACATCAGCTTTCAAGCTGCAATTCCTTTGTACCTGATGCAGGCTCTAAAGAAGGTGAAATACTAGATAGCCCTTTCCACCTACAGTCTTCTTCAATGATTGTTCTGCAAACTGCTTCCCACCCAACTGAAGAGATGACTGAAGCATGTAGCACTTTTTCCCAGGATAGTGGGCATGATACACAAAATGTTCCAGGGGACTTGGGAACTGAAATATTGTCAATGGGTAAAAAGCTTTCGGATTTGGCCAGGGAAACTGAAGATAGTGAGTTAGACACACAGTATCTGCGAAATATATTTAGACATTCCAAACGCCTGTCATTTAGCCTTTATCCTACTCCCATGAAGGCAAGTGCAGTAGAAGATGCTGCTGGAACTTCAAAGACATCATGTGCTGATTGGGTAGAAAATAAGCACAGCAAATACTTAAAAATAGAAAACTTGCAAGAGAAAACAGCTGCTGAAAGTTTGAGTAGGGTTGATGAGCAAGAGAAGCTTAACACCTCTGAATCTGCTTGTGTTAGTCCTGTGACTTGCTTTGTTGGCAGCACTGAATGTATGTACAGTACAGGGGAACACAAGGAAGGTGTTTCACAGATTGCAAATCAAGGGAATCTGGCACCAATGAGAATGGATACTGCTGGGACTGAAGACAAAAACGGATCGCAAGAAGGCGAGCAGGGAAATGAAAAAGCAGTGTCAACTGACAGAGGGATAGAAAGCGAGGTGAGACAGAATCCAGCCAAAAGTAACAGAAGGCAAAGTGATCAGAGTAATACAGAAGAGTGGATTTTCAAAAGAACAGATTTAAACACAGTTGATGAAATATGCTTCTGTTCAGAAAGCAACCAAGAAGGAAAGGCCAAAGTTGTTGAGAGCAAAGGACCAATGCCACCTTTTGAGTCCAGATCAATGATTCGTTCTGCAACTTGTGAGCAAAGGCCTGCTGCACTCAGGTGTGATGACGTGAAAAAAAGTAGCAAAAGAAAAACAAAACAATTAAAAGGGAATGAAGAACAAGCAACTCAAACTGCAAGCACAGGGATGTCTGACTGTTTAGTTACAAAGGCTCTGGAAGAACCTCTTAAAGGGAACAGTGATTTTACAGGTTTGTCTGAAACCCCTGATGGCGTACTGTGCTCTGATGATGACACTGAAGAGAACACCAGCTTTTCTGAAACTGATAGGAGAGAGATATCTGCTGTATTTGTAAAAAGAAATGACAATGCCCTGGTAAAAGAGCTTCACAATATAAATGTTAGTTCCAAGCCGAGATCTCAAGGTATCCAGAGGTCTCGAAGAAGAGCGCAGAAACTGCAATCTTCAGATGAAGAATCTAGCGAGGATGAAGATTTACCATGTTTTCAGGCATTACTACTTGGCAAATCAGTAAGCACACCTTTGCAGATCAACAAACAAGTGGCACCTGTAGCAGGGTCTCCAGTAAGTCCCATCTCATTGCATCACAATGGAAGTCATGGTGACAATAAGATGCAGAAAATGCCCGAAGCTGCCCTAAGTAATGGGTATGTTTCACCTAGCCAGGAGTCAGAATGCTCCCTCAACTTATTTTCTTCACAGTCCAATGTGTCTGAAGAATCAGCTGATGGAGCACAAGAGCTGAAGAAACCTGTAGTAGAAGTTCGTACATCCAAACAAGTGAGCAATGTGAATGGGAGTAAAGAAACTTCCAGAAGTTGCAATGGAGGGCTGAAAAGAAGTAAAACTAACTTCAAAGATGAATGCCAAGAAGACCCAAACATAGGAGCAAACCTAGGTACAAATCAAGATTTTTCTCTCTGCAACTGCTTGTAGTGTCATTGCATTTAAGTTAGTGGTGTTTGCATGGGAACTTTGTTCTGTAATTGTGGTGCTTGCTCTTTTAAAGGAACGTATTAGTCCTACACAATCGAACAAAAAACCCTCAGTGGTTTATTTCCTGAAAATTAAGCTCTTCAAGTATTTCAGGAATGAATTGACTGGGCACTAGAGGCTGGACTAAGTCTGGTGGAAATTAATTTTTGAGTGAAATGCTGACTTTTTTACTGCGATGTGATACTTGCATCTGTCAGCAAAATTTCATGAAGCCTACCTGAACTGTTTCCCCAGATGAAATGTTTGTTGAAATTGGCTGTAGAATTCTGTAGTGCTTTTTTTTTTTAACCTTTTTATGGCTTTCATAAATATTCAGAACTCTTCCATCACTATTAAAACACTGATTTGTATTTTCTTTACCATATGTATGATACAGTATTTTTCAAAATGTTCACTTAAAGTAGATCTGTGCTTCTAAACTAGGTGTTATAAATATAAAGACGATGTGACAAGTTTTGAACAGTTGGCTATAAGGTCTGAATGGTAAAAGATTACAGAGAATGTTTATTGTTTTCTTAAACTAACTCAGATTTTCTTCCACCTTCTTCAAGGTGAAGCATCTGGATATGACAGTGAAACAAGTAATGTAGAAGATACATGTGGACCATTCTCTCAGGGTGAAATCCTTACTACACAGGTGAGTTTATGTACTGAATTCTAAAAGTAGTTTACATTCTAGAATATGAACAAGTACATGAAAACTGTCAAGTCAGTGTAGTAGGAAACTGCTTTCATCATAATTCTTTGTGTCACTAGATTACTTAGAAAAGCATAATTAATGAAGAGTCATTGAAGGGCTTCTATGCCATTTTTTGTTCAACTTTGCCTTCCATTGTAATGTTATATTCTCATGGACATAACTTGCTTTGTGGTATTGATAGCAGTGCTTAACTTTGGGAGATGCTAGTTAATGAACCCCCATACTTGACCAATGTTGAAAACATCAGCTTCCTGTATTTAAAAGCTTTGTTGATAGGAATTTATAATGGTTGGTGATAAGGATTGGATTTGCTGCATTATTATATTTAGAAGCATGGAGACTTGCCTTATAAGGGTGAAGATTAAATCAAATCATTCCATATTAGAATATTAAAGATATGAGACCCAACAGGCTGTGTCCAGTGAAAAATGTCTAGCACAGCATGTGTTCTCTGCTGTTAATTTCCTAATTACTGCTTAATGGCCTGACTTTGTCTTGGTTGATTGGTATGGGGTTTTTTTGTTTGGGTTTTTTGTTGGTGGTTTTGTCTTGGTTTTGTTTATTTGTTGGGCTTTTTTGTGTGTATTTTGGTTTTGGGGTTTGACTTGTTTGGTGGATTTTCTGTTGGGTTTATTTTTTTCAGGGTCTGTAACTTCAAGGTAGGTATTATGCTAAATCTCTCCAGCTTTAGCAGAACTATGGGATTTAATGTATGTAAAAAAAAGATTGGATTTAATTGTTGTGCTTTGAGTGGTTCTTTTGTCTACTGAATCAGTGCAAAATGTGGTTAGCTGGCAGGACATTGCTCCCTGATGTAGCTTCATTGATAGAGATTCTCAGATATGACTGGGTTGAATGGAGCAGTGGCAGTATGGATTGTTGGGGAGGATTTTGGTTTATTGGGTGGTGGGGATTTTCTGCTGGGGCTAGGGGCAGAGGTAGGGAGTGGGTTATTGATTCAGTAGCAAGGAAGTTCCACATGGTGCCAGTGCTAGAGCTACAGATGTGGTATTTAGTGCTGTGGAAACTGCTTTATGCTGTATAGTGAAGGTTTTAGGTTTTTAAAAGGATCCTTTGAAGCCTTGAGCTTTTCTTACAAGGAGGTATGGCATGTTTTTAATAGAGGATATTGTAATTTTAGTGAGAAAATAAGGAAGAGTAGGATGATTTTTTTTAAAGCAGTCTTTGGAGCTTTCAGTAATAGTAGAAAGTGCAGGAGCTCAATATTTGATTTAAGTTTTAAATTAAGTGGCTAATGCAGTTGAGGCAAGATGACTTTTAAAGAGATCTGTGCAGGAGTTTTTTTTTTTTTTTCTGAGTGATTAAACTCTGAGCTGTCTAAACTGAAATAATTTGAACAGCTAAATGACGGTGTGGTTGTTTGGGCTTTTTTCCTTTTGATGTAGCATGTATGCACTATTTGTTACAAAAGCACCACAGCTGCATTTTGAACAAGTGATAAAAATTAATTCAAAATAATTTTGCTGTTTGTAAGTTTCAAGCATTTGTTAAAGCAATTAGTCTCACTGCTTAAAACTGAGCTTACTTACTAATGTGGGCACAACTGTATATCCTTTGCAGCAGAAGAATGCTATGCAAAATAACTTAAAAAAACTTCAGCAAGAAATGGCTGTACTTGAAGCAGTACTGAAGCAGCATGGAGGCCAGGATTCTGAATTTTCCCCTATCCATAGGGATCTGCCACACTGCAATAGCGAAGGAACACTTGAAATGGAACAAATGAGAAAAGGAGGTAAACAGCAATTAAATACTTTTTCAGCTTTCTTGCAAAGAGTTGTGTGAATTTTACTAGTTCTTTTTCCCTTTACCACAAATTATAGTGTTAATTTAAAATTTATGTTAGCAGACTTTAACCTAAATTCAGCTGTTCGGTGAGACATATCTTGTATTTATAACTTAGGTACTGCACTTAGTCTAAAAAACTCCTGTTACAGATCTGTGTAATGGTATATGGTAATGTATTGAGGGCATTCATAAGCAAATTGCATTAAACGGTGAAAATTTAACCTTCAGCCTATGCTATGATCTACTTTTCCCACCTAATACATAGGTGACATCTTAATTTTGTAAATTATTCAATATGTGAAATAGAATGTAGTTAGCCATGCTTTAACTGGCTTAGTATTTTTGTGTTATATAGTGCTTTGGGACATTTGCTGCTCTAAAGTTTGTGGACTGAGATTTTAGAGAATACTTGACTTCTTACCTAAAGAAACAATTAAGAACAGTTGCTTTTATTTTGCTTAAGAACTATATTTCTTTTTAAAGGGGAAGAGTCAACCTCAAAAGGGAATTTTGAAAATCATAAATGCAGGAGTTCAATGGAATTTTCAGCCAATGATTTCCACGTTGTGCCAAAGGATTCTCTCAACAGTAAAATCAAAGACTTAGAAAAAGAAAGGTAAAAGATTTTGGCTTGCTTTAGTTTTGGTTTTTGACTTTTATATCTAATCTTGTATTTAAAAAAAAGAAACAATAAAATTGAAATAAATATCACTGAGCTTTGAAGCAGTTAGCTACCTTAGCTGTTGCTACATGGTTCTGAAACTTGATTTAAATAATTTTTTTTTTTTTTACTCGAATTTTTCTCTCTCAAGGTCTCCAGAACTGTTGCTTCCATCTTCTAAAACCTGTTTGTGTAAGAGACCAGACTTGGAGAACAGCCTTCAGTGTGGCAGCGTTCCGAAGAACAAAGCTCCTTCTGAAAAGACAACAGCTGTGCGAGAATGTAGTCAGTGTCAGCTTGAAGCAGGTAACATTTGAGAGGGATCAACATTTTGATTTCTGCTTCTTTTTCCTGCTTTTTTTCTTGTTTTTACATATCAGTGAGATACAACTTTTTCTTGTAAATCAAGGATTTAAATTTCTATATTCACGGTCAATTTAAAAATGCTACTTGTTTGGTTGGCTTAGTTTTGTAGTCCAGCTGTATAGCTGCCCATCAGGGTGGGACTGGACAAGATTTTGACAGTAGTGGGGGTTGTTTCACTTGTAAATGGCTACATCTTGACAGTTTCACAGCTACCAAGTTTCACAGGTATTATAGTGTCTCAGCTATAGTTCAGGGAAAAGTAAAGATAGAAGCAAAGGTGAAGTAATAAACAAATAAGGAGAAGAAACAACTGCATCATTTAAACCTGAAAGTGTAGAGCAACAGCCCTCCTCCATAACTACAAGAGGGATTAAATTTTTTCAATGTGTAATTTCTCTTTTCCTTCAGAAAATGTAGATAAAGAATCTGGGACCAGGCTAATCAGTGCATCTGTCTTATCAAATCTTCTTGGAAATGTGACAGAAAGTCCAAAAAATTCTTCCTGCTCTGTAAGGCTGCTTAACACTCAAACTGCAGAAGCAACAAATAGTTCTGTTGAAGCTCAGAATGTTAAGCAAAGCTCTGCTCAAGGATACAAATCAAAGAGAAGTGTGTGTTACCCTGTATCTGTTCTGCACAATGCCTCTGGGAAAGAAAATGCTACCAGTCCAGTTATGGCTAACAGGAAAGAAATGTCAATTGTTGCATCAGGTCTGAATCAAAGTGAACATGTAAGTACAATTGAGAAGTTTTAGCAATCACTTCTTGATCATTTCAGACTATAGTCCTCAACATAGAAAGATTGAAGTATAATGGAAACTAATCTTATTGGGGCTGTAGAGTGGTAATACAGCAACTCAAGTCAAACTTCACTCCTAAAACTATGAAGGCATGCTGCTTGTGGCAACACTATAAGCTTACTGAAGTTTGAACTTTTTAAATGACTGCCTACAGTCTAGGGGAAAACCACATTATTCCAAAGCAAGAAGACTTTATTTCCAGAAAGCCTTGGGGCTTGGAACAAAGGGGTCTATTTGACTGGCCAGTTCCCTTGATGTCTCAGATGCTGCTTCTTCAACCAAATTCTGATTCATGGTGAAGATTTCTGTAAATAATAGATTCTGAATTGCTAATAAACCTGTTTCTGCAATCCATTTCCAAGAGGATATTGTTTCTGGTTTATAAACTACTGACTGAGAGTTCTTTACTTAGCATGTTGAACGGTGCTAAAATTACTGACTTGTAAGGAAATGTACATTCTTTGTGCCATCACCAGTAAAATCATTACTTTAAAGAAACTATCTTACTATGTCGTACTCCTAAAAAGGAGTTGTTGGGGGTTTTTAATACGTTTGGCTATCCATTAATTTTCCTAACTATTTTTCAGTTGGTGGTACAGAAGTTTGCAAGAAAAACTCGGAGCGCTTTCTGTAGTCACATTACTGAAGGAACAACCCACGTCATAATGAAAACAGGTTTGTTGAGAGCTATGTAAACAAATCCTATATTTACACGCCATATAGAATTTTAACTCTAGGCTAAGCAACAAGCAGACAGTTCAGAAATAATTTTGGATTTTGAGAAGTTATTAACTGTTTTCTTCTTTATCATAATTTTTTTGTTAAACTTGGAAATCTTCTATTTCATAGAAAGAGTGAGGGTATATATTATCTCCTTGTGTGATTTGAAGTTAATGTTGTTTAATTGTTTTTCCCCAGCTGCATATCACAATTTTTAGGTGTTTATAGTACATGAAGTATGTGAAGTAGTTCAGAACCAACCATAAAGAAAGCAATTCCTAAAGAACTGGGATACAGGCATTCTGGAAATAAGATGCTGGTGGATGATGTGGTGGTCAGAGGCCGTCTTAGGCTCACCGACCACGAAATGATAGAGTTCTCAATTCTTGGCCAAGTAGGAAGGGGAGGCAGCAAAACTATTACCATGAACTTCTGAAGAGGCAGACTTCAACTTGTTTAGAACACTGGTTGGGGAAGTCCCTTGGGATACAGTCCTAGAGGGCAAATGGGTCCAGGAAGGCTGGACTTTTTTCAAGAAGATTCTATTAAAGGCACAGGAGCAGGCTGTCCCCACGTGTCATAAGACAAACTGTTTGGGATAACAACCAGTGTGGCTGAACAGAGCTTTTGCTGGAACTTTAGGAGAAAGAGGAGAGTCTGCCACCTTTGGCAGAAGGGGCAGGCTACTCAGGAAGAGTGTAGTGATTTAGTTATGTCACATAGAAAGAAGATTATAGGGGTAAAATCTTATCTAGAACTGAGATAAGAGATAACAAAGTGTTTTTACAACTATATTAACAACAAAAAAAGAACCAGGGAGAATCTCCATCCTTTATTCAATGTGAGGAGGAACATTACCATGGATGAGGAAAATGCTGATGTATTTAATGCTGCCTTTGCCTCAGTCTTTAATAGTTGGTCCAATTGTCCTCATGGTATTCAGTCCTCTGGGCTGGAAGAAAGGGATGGAGATCAGCATAATCCCCTCATAATCCAGGAAGTAGTGAATGACCTGCTAAGCCAATTGGACACCTATGAGTCTATGAGGCTGGATGAGATCCACCCGAGAGTGCTGAGGGAGCTAGGAAAGGAACTTGCCAAGCCTCTCTCCACTTCCTGGCAGTCCTGGTTAATGGGAGAGGTCCTGGCTGACTGGACACTTGCCAATGTGATGCCCATCTGCAAGAAGGACAGGAAGGAGGGTCCAGGGAACTACAGGCCATCAGCCTGACCTTGGTACTGGGGAGGATCATGGAATAGTTCATCTTGGGGGTGATCGTGTAGAAAGTGCAGGACAACAGGGGGATCAGGTCCAGTTAAGCCAGCATGGGTTTATGAAGCGCAAGTCCTGTTTAACCAACCTCATCTCCTGCTATGATCAGGTGACCTGTCTAGTGGATGAGGGAAGAGCAGTGGATATTTTCTACCAGGACTTCAGGAAGGTATTTGACACTGTTTCTCACAGCATTCTGCTGGAGAAGCTGGTGGCTCATGGCCTAGACAGGTGGAGGTTCTAGTGAGGTTGGTGTTGGTCTCTTCTCCCAAATTACTAATGATAGGACGAGAGGAAATGGCCTTGATTTGCACCAAGGGAGGTTTTGATTGGATATTAGGAAGAATTTATTCACTCAGAGAGTGGGTAGGCACTGGAATAGTCTGCCTAGGAAGGCAGTAGTCATCATCCCTGGAGGTGTTCCAAAAATGAATAGATATAGCACTTGAGGCTATGGCCTAGCAGTTAGGCAAATGTTGGGATGAAAGTTGAATGATCCTAGAGGTCCTTTCCAATCACAGTGATTCTATGATTCTGTGATTTTGGTTTCCAAATTCCTTGCAGGGATTGTAAATGCTGTTTCACTCTAAATTTTTGAAAGATTATCTTTAATAGAAATCTTGAAGTGGGACTCTATGTATAACTGGTGATAGTTGACAGCAAAGGCATTCTTCCATAGAAACAAAGCAGCACTAACACTTAATTGTTAGTAGTATTTGTGTGCTTATTTAAGGTACTTAAATTAGATTTTTCTCCTTGGTAGAGCTCAAGAATCCCATTGTTAAAAGCTTGAATGAATTTTATAGAAATTTCAGTACAATACAACAGTTTCAAATGTGACAAATATATTCTGAAACATAGTGTTATATTGACTTCAAAAAGCATAACATTCCATGGTAAAATTAAGTTCCTTTATTCCTGTGTCTAGTAACAGGTTATGTTTAAGCTCTCTACTGAACCTCCTGGCTAGCTTTTAACCAACATTTTCTTAAAGTACTTTGAGGCAAATCTAGGTGTGGTTATGCTATATAATTTGCTTGCATTTTGCTTCACAGAAGCACTTCTGTCTGGCTCTCACTTGGATACAATCTATCACAGAAGCCTTTCTTCCTTTTGAAAACTGACATAGAAAAGGAGCCAGAAAATCCTGTTACTCCAAATGTATAGACACGATTTTTGCTTTTTCCTTCAGGAAATGTATCATAGACAACATGACCATATGTTTTTGGAGAGGTAAACTGTTCTCTCTTCGTAGAAAGAGGATAAGCTGCCTTCTGAAGTTGTGCCTGTTTGGTAAAGATGATCCTAAATGGCTAGTCATCTAAAAGTTTATGCAACCATTAGGCACTGAATACTACTGCTAGTGTCCTCTGTCCTGACTAGGAGAACACTTTTTCTTGCCTCTTAATAACTAAAAAAGGATTCAGAAGTTGTATATTTCTTTCAATTTAGTAGAATCATGGCACTAGAATTTTGGAACCTTTCTATAGGTGATCTTGGTATTTTGCTGCTGCTCTTTGCAAGAACGTTTTGCTTTTAGGTACAAATAACTTGAAATGTGAGGGTTTGGGTTTTTTTTCCACTAATGGCAAAACTGAAATAGATTTCACTCTTCTTTGCTCTGCAGATAAAGAGCTAGTGTGTGAACGGACGCTGAAGTACTTTCTGGGTATTGCAGGAAGAAAATGGGTAGTTAGTTACCAGTGTAAGTATAACTTGTTTTGGAGCTAAATGGTCTCTGCCCTTCTACCACAAAATGTGCTCTTCACCTCCAGTGAAAAAAATTAATCTTTTAATGTCTCAGCATCTGATGTTTCACAGCATTTCTTTTAAATACTTTAGAATAAGTTTTAAAAATAACATTTAAAAAAAAACAAACAACATCAAGATCTTTCTCTTATGAATACTTTTCATGCTTTCAAATAACTACATTGGACTGTTCCCCATCCTGACAAAAGCCTTTCCCTCCTCTTAATTTAAGTCTTTGAGGTGCATGGCATCAGTTGGTGCAAAATTCATATTATTTATAAAAGGTAAAAAAAATCTTTACCTTTTTCATGCACCATACTGTATTCTGTTTCCCTTGGTACAAATGCCTTCAATTTAATATAGCAATGAAGACAGACTATTGGTAGTGTAAGAACAATTTTGCTGGGTAAAGTGACTTGTCCTGATCTTTTTATTTAGGGGTAATTCAGTCTTTTAAAGAAGGAAGGATACTGGATGAGGTAGGTCTTCTATCTTAAGAGTGACATGTCAAATCTGTAAGCTATGCTGTTACATTGATAGACCTATTAGTAACCTCAGATATTGTCTAAGCATTTAGTATATTGAAATGTGGCTTTGAAAAATGGGATTATAGACCAAAATCCACACTTAGGCCATATGTATTCACTGTTGAAAACATAATGGCTCCCTATTATTTTTTGGATTAAGTTATAGGTATTTTTTTTATAAGTGTTCCTACTGATATTGATGAATTACAGTATAGAGGAAAAGATCTCTTTTTTGCTTAAGGAAATAATGTTGAAACATAGCTACAAACATAGTCTTGTTTTTAAGCTTTAGAATAGGCACCTGCTGAAAACTTGTTCCAGCATTTACTACCTTACCTAGTAGAAATGGCTTATTTCATATGACCTTGATTTAGGTGGATGTGTGTATTCCTGGGTAATATTTGGATTTTCATTCTTTAGTATAGATCTTTGGAGAATGTCATATTAGTGGCACAGTATGGATTTCATATATCTAATGAGCAGAAATGGACACTCTCTGGTATGAAATCCATATACCCTTTTGTCAAGCCAGGGGTGAAAAACAAAAAAATCTGAACCCCAAAAAGACCCTAGGAAGTAGTATTGAAGGTCCTCTTGTGCTTCTTATTGCTTGTTTGTTATGTTCCAGGAGAACTTTGAAGTTAGAGGAGATGTAATCAATGGGAGAAACCATCAAGGTCCTAAGAGGGCTAGAGTGTCTCTGACTGAAAAGGTAGGAGCATAGCAGAGAGAAAAATCCTGTCCTGCTGTGACTGTTTCAGATATGTGGCTATGCTAGCTGAATGTCTGAAACTACTTCCAATTTCTTTGCTGCTCTGTATGTAAGGAGTTGTACAAATTAAGTATTTTTATACTTGAAAGGTGAGCTCCGTCAACAGTAGAGCAGATATATTTGAGTGACTCACTATGCTTGGAGTGAATGCTATGTTTTCATAACATTGGTATAGGATAGCACAGCATTGGGGATTTTTTATGCTATTCTGGTTCTTTGTGGGTTACAGAGAGTGTCAGGTCTATTTTGTGGAACAGTGATAGCCTGATAACCAGTCTTAGAAGTGCAATGAAACCAGCACGTTAAGTATTGTCTTCTAAAGATATTATATGTACTCTGCTAACATGTTGCTTGTTTTTCAGATCTTTAAAGACTTTGAGATCTGTTGCTATGGACCTTTCACTGATATGACTACAGGTGTGTCACTTTAGTGTTATTCAGTGAACTCAGCATAAAAAATATTTGGAGGCCGATTGTGTGCATTCACCAGTTTTACATTTGACCTCTTCTTGGTTACTCTTGTACCTCTTTTACTCTGAATCTTTCAAAATACCTACATGAGGTACAGCATAATGAAGAACTTTATCCACTTCTGTCTCCAGATAGAATAGAAAAGCTGTCTTTTATTTGGATGTCTCAGAACTGCTCTGGTAATTTTTCTGTATTTAAAAACAGGCTTTTTACCTAGTTTATATCTGATTCTCTAGCAATGCATTAATATGTTGCTGTCTAGTAATTGCTTTAGATGCTCAAATACAAGTTTTGAATAGCATTTTTTCTTCTTAGTGAACAGTTTCTAAATATCATTTTTCTGCTGCTAGAGAGAGGAGATTACACTGCTAGATGTTAAAAGTGAAACACACAACAAAGCCAAAAGTTTATAGGTAAAGAAAAAGCTGGGCAGGATGATTTCTGTTTGTCAATTTAAAATTGAATAAAGTACATTAAAAATATTTGTACCTCCCCTCTCAGGAGAGGTACAAATGTGGCTTATACTGCAGGTACTTTCTTATTTGTCCAATATAACTTTATTTTTTACTAGATAAAATATATTCACATCTCTTGACATTTACAGTAATTCCTACAGAGGATGCAGTGCTTTCACCTGCTGCAGTGATCATCAATTACAGCTCCTACACTGGAGAGACTTATTTATCTTCTTCACTAGCAATTCAGCAAATTGGTGGAAATTAAATACTTTGGCTATTCATGTTAACGATAGATAATCATATTTCTAACTTCTGCTTTTGAATTTTAGTTTCATGTCTTACATCCTTATGACAAAAGGAGATAAATTATTAGTGGACTTTCTTTGAGCTTTGGCCATCTAGTGTTTTGCCTTTTGTTTTGCTCTAACTAGAGGGTGAGGGAAGAGAGTGAGTTGATGTTCCTCAGCAGGCTAGAAAATGAAAGGTCTTCTCTCCCAAGACTTAATCTCTTTCAGAATGTGGTAGCTTAAATCTACAAACAGTGAGGGTTTAGAGAATAGTATCAGTTTCAATGTGGTGTAAAACACTGAAGAAATAAGACTTATCTGATTCCTTCAGAACACCTTGAATGGATGGTGGAGCTTTGTGGTGCCTCTGTCGTGAAGCAACTTCATCTATTCACACACACAACAGTAAGTGTTATTGCATGCTACACTTAACATTGGTCCATGGTTGCATAGTACACAAGGTGTTGAAAGATGACCTGGCCTTCATGGGTCTGTCGAAGAATGATGCATACAGTTATAGAGAACTGTCTGCACAGTAATGATGCCAAACTGTATGGCAGTAGTTCTTGTGTTTTAGGCTCTGGCCAGGCTGTATTAGAAGGTAGGCTAACTTGTAGTGGAAAACTGGTCAGAGTGCCCTATATAGGGCAGACAGCTCATCTCTTGAAATCAGCACTGAGCCTCATATTCAAGTGCAAAAAGCCTTTAGTACCTTAACTTAGTCACAGCATTACTGGAGAAAAATCACAGAAAAACCTTAGGAACTAATGTGTTTTCTCCCTCTACTGCCACTGCTCAAACTCCTCTCTGAAGTGATGCACTGAAGCAGAGTTAGCCCAGTTATTGCTCTCTGTAGACAGGTGTGATTGAATGACAGAAGAGTAGAATTTTTGTTTTCTTATCTTGAAATCCTAGAATTCTATTCCTGTTGTGGTTGTGCAGCCAGATGCTTGGATGGAAAACATGGATTATAGAGGTAAGCCAACACTCTGTCATGGGCTGGTTTATGGTGCACATTGAATGCCTTTATCACCTTGGTCCTTTTAATAGTTAAATTTCATAGAGGTTTGTAGAGGAATCAAAATAAAATCCTACTGCATCCAGAGATGGAGGGATGTCTTGGAAGAAAAATATAGGACAAGGTAGACGGTTGCTGATTCTTGAAATAATCTTAAAAGATAGTCTAGCAGGAAAATCCTCCTCTTGACTCAGTTGTCCTGCATATCATCAGCTTTACAGACACTTTTCTGATCAGATGTATTTTTCTAAAAGGTAGGGAGATGTGCCCTTAGAAGACTTGTAAGATGTAGGAGAAAGCCTCCTATGGGACGAGAGTGTCTTGGTCTGGAAAGAAAATTACTCAAAGCATTAACTGATACAGCTTTTCCTCTTTTCCATTTTTGTTTTCATTGCCTGCCCTCTTTGCCCACCTCTCTCAAAATGCTTGAGCAACCATAAGGCTTTGAAAGTGCAAGTGTTCTAAACTAACTTACTTTTAAAGGAGATTGTGGGAGTTAAAGGGTGAATGGGTGCTAGTTAGGCTACAGTAGAGTTGAACAAAAAAAATGGAGCAGGAGGATGATGTAAAAACAGCTGTTTCCATGGCACTGGGAAAATGAGAAAATAAGGAACCTGAAATTGTGAAGAGCAGTCTAGGGCCACTTCAGTAATTTTCTGTTGCTTCTTTTAATGAGACTCATTGCTTGTCACATGCTCAGTATGACAGGAACTGAGGCACTGTCACTGAGGTTCTAAATTAAAAGATGACAAGGACTGCACTCTTTGCTTTTAGTGTTTATTCTGCGCTGTTCAAAACTTCCTGCCTGACCATTTGCCAAACAGCTGTTTTTGGAGCAGCAAGTATTACCTATGTTGTTCAATGGAGTGGCAGTGCCACATCACTGGTTTTAGACTCTTGTTTTTTTATCAAGGCCTTTAAAAAGTCAAAGATAAAGCAAATAGCTTAATCTGAAAGACATCAGTAAGATCACCTTAAGATTGCTTTGAGTCATTGATAACAGTTTTATTGTTTGTGTCTTTATTTTACAGAAATCCAGCAAAAGAACAAAGTTGCCATGGTGACTCGAGAGTGGGTATTAGACAGTGTTGCTTGCTATAAGTGCCAGGACTTCCATGCTTACCTTGTGTCCTAAGGGTGACCTGCAGTTCTCTTTCCATTACTCAGAAATTCTCAGTGCTGTTAGTGTGGTAATTATTTTAAGGAGTGACAATTTTTAAGTCACTTATGCAGAGATTATGTGCATGTAATTTTCTTGTTCAGAGCAAAATAACTATGGTTAAGTAACTTTATTGTTAATGAAAAACATTACCATACGAAGATGGAATTACCCACTGGTCTTTAAAGATTAACATTTCTGATTTCAAAATAGTCCTTTAAATTAATGTAAAACTAATTTTTAAAGTTAGAAAATGTAAAATACATCCACTTCAGAGAAATGGTTATCTACCATTGCAGCCAGTTCCTCTCTATATACTTGAGGACATTTTGTAGAGTCATTTAAGAGACTAATACTGAACTCGGAGCTTAAAATAAAACATACTTGCATTCCTGAGTAACCTCTATTTTTTTCATTTCTAATGCAACAGCCTGGTTAATCTTAGTCCATTTATTATAGTTGTGTTGAAAATTATACAAACAGCTCTCTTGCTTTAAATAAAGTGCTAACTTGTGACAACTTTTACTAAGCAGAAAAATTATCTACAAGTACAGTACCTGAAAAGCCAACAATTGATTCTCAGTGTAAACCAATCCTTAAAAATACAAGTCTATATTAGAGTACTCAATCTTATTTCTGAGAATTGTACGTGACACGTATGAAGAGATAATAAACAGATGCACTTCAGTATCCCAATGACCTATAACAAGTGCTATAAGAATCTGCTTCTAATATTCCCTGCCTGCAAAATGAGATTGTGAAGAAAGTAAGTTGCTTTATAGGGAAGAAAATATGTTGCTGGTTTCTGTTGCCAAGCAATTCAACTTCATAAATCTCTTTCTGCTCTCAAAGCAGAAAAGTAACCTGTTTTCATAAAGTAGTTGTTTAAAAAAAATTGTAGCTAAGTTCAGAGAATTGTTCAATGCTCAGGTGCTGCTAAGTTGTCTTGGAAAGTTATAGAAAATTTGTTTATAAATATTGGAACACTCAAAATAAAGTTATTTTGACAAGTATTTTACTTAACTGATTAGTTCTTGAGTTAATCAGTCTCTGCTTTTAGGCATATATGAAAAAATATCAAGTCCAGCCTCCTGGAATGGGGAGGGGAGACTTACTGGAGGAGGTAAAAAATGTAAATTAGAATTTCAGAGCTGGAATCAGCATTGCAATTTGCATCAACCTGAGAAGCAAATGTGTTATCAAGTGTCTTGCAGTTGCCAGCAGAGGCAAGTGCAGCCTAACTAGGCGTTGCTATTGGTAGTGCAAGTGCTGGAAGCACTTGCTTAGCTGACACACATTAATGATTTCTTCTGTGTGACAATATCTCGTAACTATTAAGGCTGTTCAATACAGTCTCACCTTCAGGCTCATGCTCCTCTTATCTCTAGAGCCCACACTGGTTGTTGGTTTGGGGTTTTATTTATAATCTACGTTTTGAAAGATAGCTATGGGGAACAACTAAATGCTGTGAGTATAAGGCCAAGAGAGAGAGTTTTGCATCTACCATTGTGAAATTGTCCCTCAGATCTTGACACAAAGGTTGTCCTTTCTAGCAGGAGCTTGATATATAGTTGTCTGTAGGAGTGACACCTGTGACATTGCCCATGTCCTTGGAGGTGACTAGACTGGATCTGTGGTAACTTTGTTTCTAATAAAGCAAGTAGCATCTGTGAACTTTTGGAGTAATCTGCATCTCATTTAAGATTTGAATAAGGTGGAACAGTTTGACTAGATAGATACATCAGAGAAGTATACAGTTGAAGGGGAGCTGATGTGGCCTCCATCATGGAATCCATGTTGACTTCTCTAGTCTGACTTCCAGCTTCAGTAATAAAACTCCAGCACCCAGAGCTTCACAGACAGCTTTATGACACTTCCCAGGGTAGCAAGCCCCTGAGGTGAAGGCATTTTTGAGATGGGGCTAGGCCATGGTGCTCCTTTTACAGTAATTACCTGGGGTTAATAAGTAGAGAATCAAATACCATGAAAAAGCTAGACACCTTGTTAAAGGGGTGCATACAAACAGTGACAGAAAGCAGCATGTGCCTTTTACCAGTCCCAGAGTGAGGGAAGAAACAAAGGAAGGGCTGGTGCTTTCTGTAGGTTTGCCTAAGGCTTTGCCATCAGGTAAGTACTGTAGTTTTAATTACAGCTACTCTGCTTTGTAACTTAGCAGGACCATTTCTCAGTGCAGCTGCATCAGGGTCAACTTTTCAGAAACCTGAGCTCTGCTCTTCAGTGTACATGCCCCCACCCATGGTGCCAGCTGCAGGAGGAATCTGTTGGACATAGAACTTTGACCCAGTCTTTCTGGTCAGTACTTTCTCAACATTGTGTTCAGACAATGCTTTCTCTGAACCAGTCGGAGCTGGTGCTTCAGAGTCATACTTTACTGTACAGGAGTGTTCAAAACTACATGAGGAAGTGGGGCAATTGAATTATTTTCTTCCTCTTCGGGCTATTAAATGCCAATTTCTTAATGGAAAGAGTTTCCCCCAGAGTTTACTACTCTGGGGGAAAGAACCTTGTCCTGTGCTAATGACAGCTAACCTTGCACTAGGGTAGTAGCAGATTTTGTCTTGCAGCCATTGCACTAGCATTGTTGCAGCCTGTCTTCCTTTCCTCTTATGGTATTGTTGAGGATCTTTAGCATTTGATTCTGGGTAATACATTTTGCCTGATGCCTGGCTATGCCATGCATGGCTTCTACTGCTCTTTACTTCACAGAGCCTTCAGCTATGTAGAGTAGGATCACAGCTGAAGCATCAGGCAGGCTCATCAAAAATATTTAGCCCTGATCTTGTCTGCTGTAGCATCTGAGATCAGGCATGGCCCAAAGTATCAGTCCCTGCAAAGGTGTGCTGGGTCTCTGTTGCTACCTTTTCAACAGCACACATGAATTGAAATACTCTTGTGAGGCTGCCTTATCTTAACAGAGAAACTGTTAAGAAGCCATGGGCAGAAGCTGTCCAGGGTTTATTTTGTAATATATGTGAATGGATGCCTGGTTAAAATTCATATATGTTAATTAGGTAGAGCTTTGTCTTGTGTCCATAGCAGCCATGCTGATGTGAAGACCAGCAGAGAGTAAGCAACCTGTTAGCAATTCAAACTGTCCTTTACATTTTGCTGCTAGGCAGTGTTGAGTTATGCACTGACAGAGCCCACTCAGGTTACTTTAATGTTAGAATAAATGTGTAATTGCTATTTGCTTCATAGCTATTGTGGAGGTTGCAGAGTGAAGCAATAGGAAGAGGTTTGTGGACTGTAGGGGGTAATTAAGCATCAAAGTAAAAATATTACTCAGTAGTTAAACCCTTTGCATATTGCAATATTGAATTTTGATGTAGTATTCTACTGCTTCTCAAAGGGAGTCTCTGGTCCTTAAGAGAACACACCAGCACTTTCTCCTGGAACATGGTGCAGCACAGCAGGGCCCCTGGTGCCTTTCTCCTTGCTATACCATACACTTCCCACATAAGGGGGTGGGACTGAACCATATTGTCACTTGTTTTCACTCCTTGGTCCAGTTCCTTGCTCGGAACTCTGTAACATGCAGCCAGAGCTGCTGCTGCTGACGTTGGGGACGCCTGTGTGGCACTCATGTGCTGGAAGAGTCCACATACTAGAAATACCAGATGGATTTGTTTAGCCTGGAGAAGGCTAAAGCAGTGGGGGGTGGGGTGTAATTGAGAATCCCCTTTACAGCTGTGGAATTGTCAGTTTTTACTACAACTTGGAAGTTCAGGATGGTGCCAGCACCACAGCTTTTTCTACCTCTGTGTTCTGCTTTGTAGACTCATCAGCACACAAGGTAATTGGTGTTCCTGTTGGCTGGGGAACACCATTTACATTCCTGATAGGTTATGGATGGCAGCTTTCACTCAAGAAGGAGGTGAAGGGAGGGCTTGCTCTCCATGCTATCATGTAGAGATTTTAAATGCATTTACTACTAAAGCCTTGTAAACAAGCTTCTTTGAGGCTTGCTCTAAAAGAATATCAAAGTGGCCAATCCATTTAACTTATGTAGGAGGCAAAGGGAGGAGAAGACAGCAGCTGGGATACTGTGTTCTGATTGGACTGTACAGAGATCTCCATTCTTTCCTGCCTGGGGTTTGGGGTGGGGGAGGCTCTTCATCCTGCTCTCCCTGCCTTGACACTGCACTTCATTGTTTGGAGAGGGACTTTATTGCAAAAATGCATCTTTAATTTATTGGCTACCTCCTTCCCTGCTTATAGGATCTGGAAGCAGAATTTGGACTGTGTGTTAGCGTGGCACAGGGAAGGGAAAGTTGGATTCCAGTGGGGCCATAGCATTATCTGGCTGGGTCTTTCTCTACACAGCCAGAGCAAAGCAAAGACTCATGAGACTTCACTGATTTAAGAATGCCTAAGCCTTTTCTGCACTGCAGCTGGTGCAAGCTGACTAAAGGACTGTGGGGTCTGGCAACCATGTTGTGCCTAAATTACACTGGTCAGTCATGCAGCACTCACATTAAATGGTGCCTCTCAAAACACTTTACAGATATGATTGATCATTCTCTCCTGTTGCCCTTCTTCTTGAAGCTAGATATTACTGCCTCTGTTTTGAGTTGTTTCTGGTCATCTGGTAGATAAGCATTTTTGTGTACAGGTTGGAAGCTGAAATGCTGGGGTTTGAACCCCGAGCCCTGAATTAAGGTTGGCATATGGGTGATTCCCACAGCCCTTCATACAGAGGGGTGAGTTGGCCTTAGAGCTTCCCCCCAGGGTGCGGCCGGCCCTGCAGGGAGAGCCAGAAGGGAAATGAGCCCCAGGGGTCCCGCAGTGAGTTGACAAAGGTCAGGTGTCTGCTTGGGGATAAAGGCTGGGACCACTTGCAGGGAGTCAGGAGTGTCTGTCTGTGGAGTGCACTCCCCAGAGCTGCCTGGTTCAGGGCAGACCTCCTGACTCTCCTGGAGCTGGGCCCTGGTCTGTTTAGGCCTTTGCAAACGCAG